TTGCATTCTGGATTTCTGTGCTTCGTCCATATTCATGTTCCTTGCAATACTTAAATAATAATAATAATAATAATAATAATAATAATAATAATAAATGGCAATGGCCTTGAGGTATTATCATCGAAATAACCAGCCCAGGTAAATTCAATCTTGTGTCTAATTTGACAACGGTGGCCTTTTCAGCCCAGGGTGGCCTGATAGCCTTCAGGGATCCCCCACTGGGGGGCACCGACCAGGGGACAACCGGTAGCAGAGGGGTCGAGCATCATCTGAGTGGCCAGTCGCTGTGCCTCCCAGAGTGCCCCTCCCCCTATTAACACGAGTGCCTGTTTGTTTGTGCGTACAAACTCTCTTGGACACCGCCACCCCCAGCATGGGGCCCGGCGTCTGCTCTTCATGCATTTTTTGATAGGAGAGGAGAGGGCCTGTTTCTTTGCGCGTACGACCTCTCTTTGGCCTTTTCCATCTGTTTGCTCTCCTTCTCCTTCCCCTCCTCCTTCTCCTTCTCCTTCTCCCTCTGTGTTTTCTCATGGTCTTCGCATTTGCTGACATCTTCTTCTCCCTTCACCGTCATCCATGAATCGCCCTTGAGGCTTTGCGCACCTCGCTGCTGTTGCCTTCCCTCTCTTTCGTCGAGTTATTTAATCCTCTCTTTTTTTTTCTCTTTTTTTTCTCTTTTTTCCTATTTTTCACAAGCTCAAATCTATTCGTGGGGAGCAGCACGTGCTGAGAATCCCTCTCTGTTTTCTCATGGTCCTGGCATTTGCTGACATCTTCTTCGCCCTTCACCGCCATCCATGAATCGCCCTTGAGGCTTTGCACACCTCGCTGTTGTTGCCTTCCCTCTGTTTCATCGTGTTGTTTAATCCTCTCTTTTTTTTTTTCTCTTTTTTTTTTTTGACAATCTCAAATCCATTCGTGGGGAGCAGCACGTGCTGAGAACCGGGCTCATAAGGCAGTTATTTAATCCTCTATCTAAACTAATAGAAAATAGAATATCTCATGAATCTTTTAGAAAAAAACCATAAACTTATAGAATATATCATTACTCTTGTACGAAAGGCCAATACTGACGAGAGTTACTGAGTCCGCTGATTGTCATTGCATAATGCACAAGGCCAGCATCTTGATGTCGTTCGGTCATTACGTGTAGTTAATTGGCCAAGGCCAAGGCCACCATCTTGTTGCTATTGGGTCATTATGTGTAATCAATCAGCAAGTCGCCCGAACCGCTCATTTTTATACGAGCCATCATCATGAGGGTCGCGTCGGGAAGACATGTTGATAGCGCTCGTCTCTTTCTTCCTCTGACTCTCTGAGACTCTCGTCCTATTTTTCATTACTGTCATCGGCCTGCTTTATCTCTATCAGATTCTATCTCTCGACTGGTGTGACACAGTGTGGCTCTGACGAGCGTGCTTCGTGACACGTCATGAACTAAGCATGCATGCATGCATGCCTTGGAACGAACGAAGCAAGAAATTATTTTTTTTTTATTATTATTATTAAAGAAGTAAGAAATTCAATGAGAAGATTACTGGGAGACATTACCACACTCAAAATCTCCAGTACATGTGTCTATGGGCCTCGCTGCACTACTCTTGAAATGTGCAAAACGAGAGTGAATCTTCCGCTAGAATATGGAAAGATACACCCCCATGATTTTTGTCTTTTGTACATGTCCAGAGTAGTGCAGCGAGGCCCTCTATCTGTGTAATGGGACCAAAGAAGGGCAGGGGCGCAAGAAGGGCAGCAGGGGCCAAAGGCTTCGCAAACCATTGGGCTACCGCACGCAAATTATCAGATTGTTTTTTTTTTTTTTTTTTTGGGGAGTTATCAGATTGGCCAGGGCGTTTTTTTGTAGTTGTGTTTATTACGGACAAAATTAAGGTCAGATGCATCCAGATGGGTTCCTAAATGGAGTCAGATACATTCGAGATTTGAGCTCGTGTGAGTACGCCCGTAGACGAGAGGACGAGGGAGAACTAAACAAGAGCGAGAGGTGGAAAATAGAAAACGAAGAGGGGGCGCTACCGGTAGGCGCGGGTGCAAGCGCACTCCGGCCTAGCGCTATCGGTTCGGCAAAACCGATACTATCGACTCACACGGTCTGCACGCTGCGGACGCGATGAGAACTTGACCAACCTTCGCTGCGACGGCTACGCCGGCAGCCAACCCCCATTTTTAGGTGGGAGGGGAGGCAAGGACGGTGGCCAGAGACGTACGTTTTCACCATTGAGAGTGTAACAAAGAGTAGTGACGTGGCGCTCAAAGAGTGCACGCGTCAAGGGTACGTTCAGAAGAGGACAAAGGGAGGAATTGTTTTGCTTCAGAAGAGGACAAAGGGAGGAATTGTTTTGCTTCAGAAGAGGACAAAGGGAGGAATTGTTTTGCTGTAAGCAGAGCTTTCCCGCTTGATCATCATGGCGGGGGCACACGCATGTCGGACGAAGAGAAAAATGCTACGACGATGAAATTTTTCCAAACGATATCGGGAGGGAGATAGGGAGGGCAAAACTCCATTATGACTATGCCCTTTTTATCCTGGATGACCACTTTGGCGACTTAATTATCAACTGGTCGAAGGAGAGGACGATTATTGTCATCTTCCAAACGAAGGATCAGACTCTTGGTCTATCACTAAGGGAGCAACTGATCCACATTTACGAGGATGGATGGTATCGGGATCCAGCAAGGAATCCGTCGGCAAAGAGTGGAAAAACGCACGGGGAAGGCCCTAACGTCATGTCGTATGTGGCAAGGTCTCTGGAGATTGCCCGGTGGATGACGAACGTTGGTGCTGCGGAGATCCCGTGCAGAGGAGGCAGTTTCAAGGTGCTTTTTAAACCATGGATGATGGGTGCCAAGCTGGATGATATGAGGAACCAGGAGCAGGCTTCACGCTTCAGATTGATCGCCCTACTGGTCCCGTTGGTGGCGATGTTTACGCTTCAGATTGATCGCCCTACGAGTCCCGTTGGAAAAGTGTTGAAGATGCACCCGTCGGACAAGAAGGAGGATGAACCCTCGCTGGGGAATGTTAAAATAGACTGTGAATCGGGAGTTCGGGATTCATACAGAGATTGGATCTACGTTCGTAGCAAGGACGGCGCAGATCTGGAGATCAGGATTGCCACATAGGAGTCTCCCATCTGCAACAAATGCTTGTGGTGGTTTCATACTGAAGACGATCCAGACTGCCCCCACTATAACGAGGAAATGCCCGCTGGACGGAGGAGAGGGCAAAGAGGTAGGGGAGGGCGAGGAGGCCGAGGAGGAAGAGGAAGAGGGGGAGGAAGGGGTCAGGACCCTTCCCAAGACCCCCCCCCACCCACCCATCATCATCATCACCACCACCTCCGCCCGCATCCCAACCACCGTCCTCTTCCGGGGGGCAGCCCCTGATCCAAGCTCCGGGAAATCACTCGGCTTCGTTCGGGGGAGGAGCCTCCCGTGCGGGATCGGGACAAGGGACCCAGCACTACCAAGCAGGAAGCCATCAATCCCAGCAACGACAATCACCTCAACCTTCTCCTCTTCAACATACGCGGCAACAGGAGCAAGTGCCACAGCAGCAACAGCAGCAACACCCACCACAACATCAGCAGCCTCCCCTTCAATCGAGGGTGTTTAGACCATCTTTTGCATCACCACCAATGCAGCAAGGCTTGGGAGGCGGTCAAGCTCAGGGTTATGCCCCTGGCCACGGTACCTCTGCTCACCTGTCAGGCCTCGGCAGCCTCGTCAATGGAAGTACATGGGGAAACCAGGCCCCCCCCTGCATGTCGGCAGGAATACTAGGAGCCTCATCATCAGGAGCAACCTATAGGAATGTTGGACTCATCATATGTGTATCCCAGTCATAGCAGAACCCCTACTTCAATTACGGGCCTCCCACAACCTTCATATACTTCACCCTTAGGCCAAGGGGTAGTCCCCCCTCCAGGGCATGCGAATTACGTCACCATCCGTACCAACCCAGGTTTCACACACAGATCGAGCCAGGGGGAAAGTTTCACATTTGCGCCAATAGGCTATGATCCCGGCTCTAGATCAACCGGCAATGGGTCTTTCACGACAGTCGCATCGGATCTACGTCTGAACAATCCGGCTGTCTCCTAAGCACAGTCTCCAGGGGTCCTGGGAAATTTCGTCCCCTGTCGGAGCCAGCAGCAACCGATTATTATGCAGGTTAATAAGGAGTCGTCCAGTGGGATCACCCCCCATGCAAGGAGTAGGTGATAACAAGGTGGAGATCCGAGGTCACAGTACAACGCAAGGGGACGCAGCTATGAGCATCTCCCGTTTGGACAGAGCAACGGAAGCAGCCCCGTGCAAATCCAGGCGTCTGGGTACGGAAGGGGAGGGGGAGGTGACAAGGGAGGATGATATTGAAATATGAAGCATGGCATCTTGTCTCTCCTTAGGTAAGACTACCGGCCAGGAATCAGGCTCCGAGATTAGCTTTAAATTGATAGACCGACCGAACAAAGCGAAATCGAGGCAAACAATCACTACAACTAGTTTCCATGGAGGAATCTGGCACTGGAACAGATTCGAAGATTGGCGCCTCAAACCACACAGGTAGTTCATCCCCTGACATGGGTAGAGGATAGATATTGGTCTATTCCTCGTACCCGAATGCTTCAAAATGACACAAGGGTGAGAGGTGAGGCCAAGAAAGATCTTAGACTGGACGGCTTTTGGGCAAACCTATTGAAAACTTGGCGGGAGATGCCCTTACCAGATAAGGCCATACCTGAAAGATTTGAGGAAGTCCTACGATAGCCTCTTTTTGGTAACAGATGGATTACTAACCATAATGGTAGAGTCTTTATAAGCTCGGAATCCCCCTGGTCAAATTGGGTTAAGAATGGAGTAGTAAGAATTAAGGATCTGTGGGACCCGTTGAATAAAACTTGGATGAATGCAAAAGGACTTAGAAAAGGGATTAAGTATGCACACAATCTAATAAATAATTTGGAAGAAATCACTTAATCTATTCCTTTGGCTTTGACAATGGTGCTTAAAAAAGGCCCGGTGTTTCGAATAGCAGACTGGGTGAGTATAAATCGTCAGGATGGAGCGAAGTCAATAGGACAAATCATGGATGTACACAAAGAAGGTGCCTCGGTCAATATTTTTAAGATCCAAAAGGACAATATAATTTCTAACAAGGATCTACACACGATCATCTTCTCAAAGTTTGACAAAATGTTTATGATAAAAGTCATATACTGTACAAAAGCAAAAGGGTGGATTTTTTTTTTACCTTAGTATCCCATACCGGAGCTTCCCTTAGACCCGACTGATTGGGTATGGCGACTAAATAAGAGAAGCAAACCCTTAAGACTACAATCCTTGAGTGTAAAGGCTTCCTATAGGCTACTTCGTCTTAAAGTGGAGGTTTTAGAAATGTTACAAGATCGATGGTATAGACACTTAAACATAAATAAAGATCTGATCAAACCAGTTAAGTGGTGCAAAGACATCAGAGAGAGGCCAGTCAAGTTTGCCTCTTTACAATTGCAAATAATTCACAGATGCCCACCCACAAACGATTGGTTAATAGACCACTATTCACTTGAACAAAAGGGTAAGGCAATACCATGGTGCAGAACATGTGTTCAAGCCTTCCCAAGTAGGAAGATTAGAGAAACAATTGAGCATATCTTCCTACAATGCCCAAGCTCTGTACTGCTTTGGAGATTATGGGATTATGTATGGAGAAGACTGACAGGCTTAGTCTGGTCATGGGAATGGCGGGCTATTCTCCTTGGACACTGGATTCCTGCATTGATTGAATTGTCGTATTTTCAACAGAACTTATTCCATTTAAGTAGGAAAGCAGTATTATGGGCGTTGTGGCATAAAAGATGTATAAGTGCCATTGAAGGAATTATAATTGGAAAACAAGAAGTGGTAGACATAATTCAACGATTTGTTCAATCAGAAATAAGATTTCAATGGGAAAAGATGAAAGTCAAAATTATTGAATATAAACAAAAAAAAGATATCGCACAGAGAATCTCGAAATTCAATTCGGAATGGTTAGGGGATGCATCAGGAGAAAAACAAGGAAAGGTGATTTGGCAAGGAGGGGAAGGGGAGCAGGTGACCTTAAAGCAAGACTACCAGATCACCTTCTACAATTGGTTCGATATCCCGCCAGGAGCTTCTTTGAGATCATCTGAGTTTTTCTCTGACCCTTTTCCTCCCTCTGCAGTAGCTCTAGTGGACCTAGGATGGTTTGGGGGGGAAGAGGGAGGAAAGGCGGTTTTATTAGACAGGTAGGAGTTTATTGAGATAGATTCTAGGTTAATCACTCTGTTTTGACGGTCATTTTGTATGACTGAAGAGGCATCTGGATTTCTATGACTAGATCAACTCTTTACTTGGATATGAGAGTTTTGGATTGACACTTTGTTGATACTATGTTCATTAAAAAAAAAAAAAAAAAAAAAAAAAAAAAACAACAACTAGTTTCCTTGTGATTTTAGCCATCACTCCCTCAGCTCAGGGGTTAAAACTGATGGCCTTAAATGCACCAGAAGGGTTTCTCACTTTACCCATGTTGCCAGTCTCGATCCCTCCGTCCACCCGATCAGTTTTACTTCCCCTGTTGGAGTCCTTCGGGGCGAAAACAAGATACCGCCTTATCCCTGACATTCGTCTGGGGAAGAAATCGCACAAAACCACAGATTCTTTGTCTACGGCGTACTTCATAGTAATAGTGGATTTGAAACAATCAACGGAGATGGTGGGGGATTGAGAGAAGGCCGGAGGGACTTGGATCCCGGTGGACTGGTTGGCATCAAAGGAAAACCTAGAACTGAAAAGGGTCGCACTTCAACCTGGAGTAGATGCACGATTGGTAGCGAAATATTGCACCTCTTTACTGAGCGACAGACAACTGATGTCACCTAGATTAAGGAGTGTTCTAAAAACCGTCTGGCCAGAAATGCCTCCTCCCACAACGACCACTACGCGAAGGAGACGCAAGAATGAGCAGATTGACAAAACAGACCACATCCAAACTGGTAAAGGGTCGTTGGGGTTGATGGAATGCCTAAACTGAAGGTAGCCACGTGGAATGTTCGGGGGTTAGGAGACACCAGTGGTCGTCAGAAGAAAGCTACTTTTAAAAGTTGGATTCACCAAGAAGGTGCACAGATTGCACTCCTCCAAGAAACAAAGCTAGACGGGCTTAAAATAGAAAAAATCCAGAAATGGTGGACGAGGCCACAATTCTGGGCCCCAGCGCAGGACTCAAGGGGGGGAGTAGCTATCCTGATACATAAAAAGTTAAAAACCTGACAATTCTAGATCACACGGTGGACCTATGGGGAAGGTGGGCATGGGTCTCCTTTAGCTATGAAGATAAGGAATGGGTTGTTATGACTGTCTATGCGCCAGCGGAATACGGTGAACGTCTCTCCTTTTTTTCAGAACCGCCCGACCTGCTTCCAGAAGTGGATAATTTGATAGTGGGAGGGGATTGGAATACACTGTTGAATCCAAGCCTAGATTCACCAGAACCTAAAAACAGTCGGACAGATAGTGTGGAATTGTTGTCTATTATTGAACAACAGAACATGGTAGATCCCTATCGTGTGTTAAATCCTTTTGAACCAGGCTACACTTGGTTCTCCAGCCAGCTCTTCCCAGATCGGTTGTCACCGCGCAGACGCATAGACTACTTCCTAGTCAGGGAAGAGGCATGGGAAACGCTCACAGACATCGACTTCCAGGTACACCCCCTGTCGGACCACAAACCAATAGTAGCCCAGTTCCAAATGTCGGGCTCGATCAAAAGGGGCAGAGGTATCTTCCGCCTGAACACTGATAACCTACAGGTCTTGGAAGTGAGGGAATGGTGTAAAAGCCATTGGAAGGATTGGGAAAGGGCGAGGGACTCATTTCTCTCAGAAAACGAATGGTTTGACACTGGTCTCCGGATCACCACCAAAGCTTTGGATGTCTTCTCAAGGATCCTGGCGTATGGCAAAAACAAGGAGGAAGGCGAGTGCAGAATCATGATCAAGGCAGCAGAAGGACACTTTGGGGAACACCCAATTTCTGACATCTATTGGGAACACGAACGAGACAGGTGGATGGAAAAATGGGAAGGGTTGCAGATCCGAAAACAGGAAAGTTGGGCTCGGAGAGCGGGGGA